AATCTTTCACAAATGAAGCAATAGGGTCACCAAAACCAATTGGGTCACAAATCACATTCAAGTTTCAGTGTGGCATTGTATCAAACACCGTACGGTGAAAACAGGCTTCCCAATCAAACAACCCTATATAATCAGATCGAGCTGATCCAAATCAGCATCAAAATAAAGCAAAGAAAGAAAAATACACAGTTACTAATTAAAACCCTAACCCTAACTAAAGAGTAGCCAATCAGATCCACGGGCCAACAAGGCCCTTCAAGAGCTTGTAAACTTGGTCACCGCCTTGGTCCCTTCAGAAACGGCGTGCTTGGCGAGCTCACCGGGAAGCACAAGCCTCACAGCAGTCTGGCCACTATATAATATTTTAATATAATTTTTATGACATATATTATTCTTATTCAATAATATGTTAGAATTATTTATATAATAACTGAATTTTGTGTGTCTTACTGAAAATTTTGTAAAAAATACGTGTATAAAACATTAGAAATACGTACATATATGTATAATACGACTATTGTACATTGCTTTTTATAAAACGTGAGATGTGTATAGAACACAAATATATTATTGAAAAATACATACGTACATATATATATATATATATATATATATATATATATATATATATATATATATATATATATATATATATATATATATATATATATATATATATATATATATATATATATATATATATATATATATATATATATATATATATATATATATATATATATATATATATATATATATATATATATATATATATATATATATATATATATATATATATATATATATATATATATATATATATATATATATATATATATATATATATATATATATATATATATATATATATATATATATATATATATATATATATATATATATATATATATATATATATATATATATATATATATATATATATATATATATATATATATATATATATATATATATATATATATATATATATATATATATATATATATATATATATATATATATATATATATATATATATATATATATATATATATATATATATATATATATATATATATATATATATATATATATATATATATATATATATGTACGTATGTATTTTTCAATAATATATTTGTGTTCTATACACATCTCACGTTTTATAAAAAGCAATGTACAATAGTCGTATTATACATATATGTACGTATTTCTAATGTTTTATACACGTATTTTTTACAAAATTTTCAGTAAGACACACAAAATTCAGTTATTATATAAATAATTCTAACATATTATTGAATAAGAATAATATATGTCATAAAAATTATATTAAAATATTATATAGTGGCCAATTAATATCTACATTAGATATGTTGAAACTGGCAAATTAATATCTATAAAGTACAAACTAATGCAACTAGAAGGTTACATTTTTTAAAAACATTTATTAATTAAATAGTATAGCCGTGCGGTTATACCTTTTAAATATAATGTATTTAAATAGTATAACCGACCGGCTATACTATGATTTTTTATATATCAAAAATAGAATATCCGCGAGGCTAGATTTTTTTGACACGTGTCACCTAATCGCTAAGGGTCCTCTTTTTGAAAAATAGTACAGCCGAACGGCTATACTCCGTGTTTTAATATTTTTTTATATACTCCTCTTTTTGACACGTGGCGCCTAATCGATGGGATCCTTTTTTTTAATATAAAAAAAATAGTATAGCTGAACGGCTATACTCAAATTTTTTTAAAATATAGCCGCATGTGTAAAATAGTATAGCCGCACGGCTGTACTATTTTTAGACCCCCAGCAATTAGGTGCCACGTATCAACACATGTCTATTTTATTTTTTTAAAAACATGGAGTATAGCCGGTCGGCGATACTATTTATAAAAAAAAACGTATTATAGCCTCCCGTCTGTTCTAATACATTATATTTCAAAGATATAGCCGCCCGGCTATACTATTTAATAAAATAATAATAATAATAATAATAAAAAGGACCCTCCTAGTTGCTATAGATATTAATTTGTTAGTTTCAACATATCCAAAGTAGTTATTAATCTTCCACTATATGATATTTTAATATAATTTTTATCACATATGTTATTCTTATTCAATAATATGTGAGAATTATTTGTATAATACGTGAATTTTGTGTGTCTTACTAAAATTTTTGTAAAAAATACGTGTATAAAATTAGAAATACATACGTACATGCACAATACGACTATTGTATGTTTGCTTTTTAAAAAAACCGTGAGACGTGTATAGAACACGAATATATTTATTAAAGACAATTTTTAAAAAACCAGTAAGGCCGCCCGGCTATACTATTTTTTTAAAAACAATTGGATAAAAATCGGGTATAGCCGCGCGGCTATACTATTTGCTATAAAAAAAACCAGAACAGTTTTACAGCCCCAGGCGCCCACGTCGTTCGGCTATACTGTTTTAAAAAAAATAAAAAACCAAGTATAGCCGATCGGCTGTACTATTTTTTAATATAAAAAAGAGGACCCCAACGATTAGGCGCCACGTGTCAACACATGTTTATTTTTTTAAAAAAAGGAGTATAGCCGGCGGCTGTACTATTTTTTTTATAAAAAGACCCTTTATCCATTAGGCGCCACGTGTCAAAAAGTATAGCCGCCCGGCTATACTGAATTTTAAAAAAATTCGTAGTATAGCCGCGCGGCTGTACGATTTGAATACATTATATTTAGAAGTTATATTAATTAACCATTGACCCAACTAATTAGGCATTTAACCAAATGGCATACTGTCAAGCCACTCAGTTGGGCGACTTGCATAGCCAATACAAACTATTCTATTTCCAAAAGTAAGTCTTATAATGACCTTGAAGTAACTCTAGTGTTCCAATGTGGGTGCTCAAACATGTTTGCAATGCCTTGGAAAACCAACAAAACTAAATTTTCTTATTGCACACATTATTTGTCATAGAGAATTGCACGCTGAGTTGGAGTGTTCTTGGTAATTGCTTCACTTTTTAAACAACACTTTACATGAAGAATACTACCACCTCTCTTGCTACCATACCCATAAATATTTGTTTGAAATTGTTGTTCTGGTTGGCAAAGAGATTGCAAAATTACCGTCTTGCATTTTTGTTACAACAAGTAAAAACTAATCTTTGCCTCTCACATTCTTTCATAGTTAGTAAAATACAAATCGGAAAAAATACGAAAACATTCCATAATTAATAGCAAGTCTTAAGAGTCTGCAAAAAATTGATGAGTATTCTTTGGGAACCTGTTGCAGAGCTGCAAAAAATTGGCCAGCTTTCACTTAGAACCATCAAATGGTCTTTATAGAAGAGAACATGAGATAGCAAAAGGCTTGTTGACTTAGTTTAGGGTAGTTTCTTAATGTTAGTGACCTCAGAGCATTAGCAAACTACATGCAATGACAATTTTATTTATCAGCACCATATCATCATCATATTGGGAATCAGGAGCTGATCCAAATCGCTAAAAATAATTCTTCATTTGATAAAAATGTTCTTAAATGGAAAATTCTTTGTATAAGAAAGCAGTCTTATTGCCATTTTTTTTCTTTAAAATAAGACAGATTCTTCGGTGTAATGAAATTCAAATTTCTAACTAATCACTATTAATATTATTCATGAACAAATTAACTAGCACATATACTTCACCAAAAGTCCCCTTTAATTTCTAAAAGCAATTCTGTATTTTTAACTGGCAAATATCTTTATTAAACATGAAAAATACATACGTATGAATATAATACAGGTATTGTATATTTGCTTCTTAAAAAACATGTATTTTACCGAGTTTTTAAGACGTGTATGAAAAACATAAGTATTATTGAAATATTTACATTTGCTTTTAAAAAACATGTATTTTATCGAGCATTTAAGCAAGCAAGGGATAATGTTCCAGGCCTTAGCACATGAGTTGCCCTTTATATTGCCAATGAGAACTTTTGAATCAGATTCCATCACCATCCTTGAATAGCCTCTCTGTCTCGCACACATCGGAGCTTCAATGGCAGCTTCAGTTTCAGCATTCAGTACACTGTTACAGCTGCGCTTTCTAGCGTATCCAAAGCAAAACAACTTGTTCTGATTCCTCATCACCACACCCAGATCCGCGTCATGGTTCTTCCAGGCATCATCAAAATTGAACTTAATTGCACCATTTTTAGGGGACTTCCAGATTTCAGAGGGCGGGATGATGACACCAATCCCATTCCTAGAGGAGGCAACTTGATTTTTCACAGCTTCAAATTCAGAAGCTGCAGAAACAGCATTTTCCATCACCCTTCTGGGATCAATCATAGAGTCTTCAAAACGGAATTTGCACATTGTTTTCCAAATTTCCCATGCAATGAAACTAGTCACTGATAGAACCCAAACTTGCTCCTTTGACAGAACATGACAATTTAACCCATTGAACCAACGATCAATAGTTGTGAAGCTTTGCAGGTTCACTCAATAATTCAAGGGGGAGCCAAACCAGACCTCTTGGGTCCAAGGGCACATAAAAATAGTATGTTCCTCAGATTCCTCATATTGATTGCAACTGGGGCAGATGGGGGACTTGATCATCCTTCTACGAAGAAGGTTTTAGCCCGGTGGGCAAGGCCTTCCAGATGCCTTTCTAAACACAACCCTCAATCACATGGGACGAACGGTTATTCCTTCCAATAGAAGAAACAAAGACCACCCGCTTGTTAAAACCTGATCTCACAGTATACAAACCAGAGTTGTTCCAAGGCCACACAATTCTGTTTTCCCTATGCAAATTACCAAAGGCAACCTCCCTCTGCACACCCCCAAGTTGATTGTGTAGAAAACACGTGGAAAGTAAACAAACAAGTCATATTTGTGGAGACAATACATAACTAGATGAACCATATCTATAAAACGAAGACCATGGTAGAATATATAGGAAGCTTAGGTTATTTCAAACAATCGACAAACTAAACTACAAAACCATTATTATACTGAGAACCAAAATCTCTATAAAACGAAGAACAAATGGCATTCTACGACATGAGCACTAAGAGCAGAATAACATAAAAACCCAATCTTTCACAAAATTGAAGCACTAGATAGAAAAAAAATTGGGTCAAAAATCACACGCATTGTATAAAATGCCATACGGTAGGATTCCCAATCAAAAAATCCTACACAATCCAACAACATATAGGCAGAACACCGAATATTATATGAACCAGAGCAGGAACGAAAAATACACATTTACTAATTACAACCCTAACCCTAATCAAAGAGCAGCCATTCCAATCCACAGCCCAACAACGCCCTTCAAGAGCTTGTAAACTTGGTCACCGCCTTGGTCCCTTCAGAAACGGCGTGCTTGGCGAGCTCACCGGGAAGCACGAGCCTCACAGCAGTTTGAATCTCCCGAGAAGTAATCGTCGGCTTCTTGTTGTACCTCGCAAGCCTCGAAGACTCCTGAGCGAGCTTCTCGAAGATGTCGTTGATGAAACTGTTCATGATGCCCATGGCCTTGCTGGAGATCCCGATATCAGGGTGGACCTGCTTCAGAACCTTGAAGATGTAGATCTTGTAGGTCTCTACGCTCTTCTTCGATCTCTTCTTCTTCTTATCTCCTGCGGCGGCTCCGGCTTCCTTCGGGAGCTTCTTGCCGGCCTTGGGCTTCTTCTCCGCCGGGGCTTTCTCAGCGACTGTGGACTTCTTCTCCTCAGCAGGCTTCTTCTCGGCCGGCTTCTTCTCAGCTTTGGGCGCCATTGTTGGAGTTGTGAGAGAAAGGTTTGAGGTTGGGAATTTGGGGATTTTACGAAATGGATTTGAGAGTTGGGATATTTTTTGTGATGACTGAGTAGTGAGGAAGGAAGTATATTTATATATGCCGAGGGTTGGATTCTATTGGGTATTGAGCTTTCACGCGGATCGCTGACTTGGAGTGTGGCTTCGGCCGTGGGATTGGGTTTGAGAACGCTTAGGAATCGACGGTTGAGATGAGGTAAGCTGGTTCAAGCGGATTGGTGACGGATTGGTGGGTTTGGGTGGGATCTGACGGTGGATAGTTTTTGGATGAAATTGGCAGTGGATGGTTGGCATGGGTTATTCGGTATGGATTCTTGACATCATCCGGAATCTGGGTGTGGTCCAAAATAAAGTTTTGTTTTTCATATAAAAAACTTTCATGTTTTGTTATTTTATCAGAAAATTCCAAGTTTAAAAAACTTTTAATAACAAAAAAAATCCAATTAATCGAAATTTATTAAGGACATTTCATAAACCGATAAATCGGTAAACCAAACTGAAAAAATAGGTTTTGACTTGAATAGGTTCGGTTCTTGGTTTTCGCCACTTAAAATTGAACCGGAGCCTAATACCAGAATCTCAACCTTGGTCATCTCCCTCAGGGTCAAACAATTCCCGCAGTGGTTCTTACGCTGGTACAGTGGTGAGATAATTAGTTCAATAATAATCAATCAAAGTTAGCAACAAATGCACGGGAATGAACCAGTTGACATGGCACCATTTTTATTAGTGTGGTTAGGGAACAACATGTTGTGCCTCAAAAGAGGTTTCTTTTAAAATTTATAAACTCGCAAGCGCACGAATCGAATATAGCATAAGCGTGTAAGAGCGAGATCGTACCCAAGGGATTGCGTGTAAAGATAGAAAACCAATTATACCCAAGTTAATTTCATTGCCAACCTAGTTGATTTAAATGGTGATTTGTTTGTTCATAAAGAAAATTAAATAAAGCATAAAACAAATACGGAAATGACAATAAACTGAAATTAAGATTTAAATTTATAAGAAAAATAACTAAGGTATTAGAATCCACACCATCATTCCATAAGATCCTAATTATTTATCTTTCAATTCCCATGGAGTAGCAATCTAGAAATCAATCTACTGCTTTCTCAAGATTTATCAATTAAGCTTGTAATTTAGATCATAAGTAAATTTTCCTTCCCTTCATAAGTACAAATTCTAAGCATAAAATGTAAACAAAATTATTTAACTACAAAGGATCAAAGTTTCCTAAGCATCCTATGTATTTGAATAACAAAATATCAAAGAAATTTGTAAACTAGAAATATAAACCAAGGATGAATTAATAGATTAATCCAAACTCTGAACTACCACAAATACATGTTATATGTCACAATACATGATAGAAGTGGTGAAAAGAAGATTAATCTATTAATCATGTGAAGTAAAAATTATAATCATTGAACACCACAATATTTGAGAATTGAAAATAAAAACTAGAA